GGGGGGGGGGAAATCACAACTAAAAGATGGGGAAAGATACATTTCAAGCTATCAGCTACAACATCTCCCCCTAATTTTTTCCGAAAGAAGGAAGGGAACTCGGTTTTACTTCTTCAGACCAAGGGGAACGGGTTTGGGGTGTGTTGGGATTTGGGAATTCCACAGCATTTATCTGAGGTGCAGGAGAAATTAACTTGGTGGTGGTGGTAACACACCAACGTTGCAAAACAGAAGACATAATCAGAACAACTACGATTGCAAAAAACCCTAAAACAGTCTGGAAAACAGAAGACAGCCATCCCGAAAATCTCTATCCTGAGAAAATGTCCACAAAACTGTCATGCTGGGGATGGTTTCTTCCTAAAATACAGGTTAACAAGGAACAAAAAATTTCAGCTGAATTCATCAATAAACAGATTCAACAGAGGAAAGTCAGGGTAGAATGGAGAATCTGATTTCCTTCTCCACCCAAATACCTGTTTGTTCTTTGAACTTCTGCTACTGAAATATCGGGGGGTCTTGTGGGATGTTTTTCAATGTACGGTTTTACCCACCTCTGTGGGACCCACCGCAAACCCAGGGGTGTTGATACACAAGCGTATCCTCTTCTCCATGTCACTAATTTGTAAGGACCTTCATTTTTCCACTCTCAGGGTCTCTCTTCAACACTGGTGGATGTTCCTTGAGCTTATGTTTGCCCTGAGGGGAGAAATGCTTAACCACTGGGGGGTTTTGATCTTCCATAGAACAGTTTAAAAAATTGAGAGTGAACAGGGCTTTGCATAATCTTTCCTGTGGTGTTAACTTTACTTTGTCTTTCCATTGATTTTTCAAAACTCTTTTGAGTGACTGGTGTGCTCTCTCTACTATTGCTTGACCTGTTGGAGAGTGGGGGATTCCTGTCTTGTGTCTCACTCCCCATTCCTGCAAAAATTCCTTAAACACTTTGGAAATATATGCTGGTCCATTATCTGTTTTAATTTCTTTAGGGATTCCTAGTACAGAAAAAGCTTGCAACAGGTGCTTTGTGGCATGCACACCTTTTTCTCCTGCATGGGCTGAGGCAAAAATTGCTCCCGAGAAGGTATCAATGGATACATGTACATATTTTACCTGTCCAAATTCAGGGATGTGTGTTACATCAGTTTGCCATACTTCACAGCTTTTCAGTCCCCTTGGATTGACTCCAGCACCCAGGGATGGCAGAGCTGTGCGCTGACAGTGGGGACATGTGGCCACAATGGCTTTGGCTTGATCTCGTTTCAGATTAAACTGTCGGATCAAACCTGGTACATTTTGATGAAACATTTCATGGCTTAATTTTGCCTGTTGAAACAGGTCAGGAAGTATGGCCAGCCCAACAGGGGCAGCAGCCAGGGAATCAGCTCTGTCATTCCCTTCCGCTATGAAACCAGGTAATTCCGTGTGCAACCGGGTATTCATAACAAAATAGGGATGCTCTCGATGGGACACTGCATAAATCAATTTTGAGAGCAATTCAAACAAAGTTCTGTTTGAGGACCTTGAGGACTGCATTTTCTGCTCTGGAAACGACTCCTGCTACATAAGCTGAATTAGTGACCAAATAGAATGGTTCTGAAAATCTCTCAAATGCTCTAACCACTGCTGCTAACTCAGCAATTTGAGGGGATCCTTCCACATAATCAACATCTGTTTCCCACTGCTGAGTCTGAGGATCCTTCCAGGTCATTACTGACCTTTGGGATGCTCCAGAAGCATCAGTAAAAACAGTCAAGGCCTCAAGGGGCTTCTGACTCCTCTTATCTTTTGGTACCAAATTAAATTTTGAATTAAACAATTTGTGTGCAGGGGCATGAACTGAAATCTGCCCTGTAAAATTCTCCAGAGCAATTTGCAGGGTCTCTTGATTCCTCAAGAGGTGCTCAAACATTTCCCTGGTCATCTTCACTGAGGAGGTTTCTTCCTCAGAGAGGCTTAGGGGCAAATGTATACATGAAAAATCACAGCCAGCAAGTTCTCTCATTCTCAGCCTGGCCTTTCCAACCAGCTGGGCCATCAATTCCTGTGGCCTTGTAATATTTTTGGACTAATGGTGACTGAGAAAGACCCACTCAATGATTATCAAATGGTCTTTCTGGTCCTTGTCCCACTGAAAAATCAACCCCTGAAGGTGTGGCAATTTCCCCATTACAATAAATTTGAAAGGCAGCTCTGGATGGCTTCTATGTGCCTGTCTCTTCTCCATCATGCTGCTTACCTTCTCTAAAGCATCCCTGGCTTCTGGAGTCAGAATCCTTGGAGCACTCAGCTCATCTCCCCCTTTCAATAAATTGAAAAGAGGGGCTAGGTCATCAGTGGCAATGCCTAGCCAAGGCCTAACCCAATTCAATGTTCCACACAGAGAATGCAAGTTGGCTAAGGTTCTGGGATTGCTGTTAAAAGCCAGTTTCTGAGGAACAATTATTTTTGCAGTGATTTCCAGA